CAGTCAGGCTGCGATTGGAGATGGCTTCATATTTTGGTGTACATGAAGATGATGGACGAAAGCTTATCGGAGAACACACTGGGTATCATCCGCCGTGCTACTCGTACGCACGTCTTCTGTCTGTGCTGCGTAAACTTTAATGATATGTGACTCGACCAAAATGTCTTTTTTTACTCACCCTCTGTAAAGATGGAAAATGCGTCCGCTGCAGGGCTCCAGTCCACCCATCCCTCCCCTCTGACACGCTCCGCTGCACGCGTTCACGCTCTATATATTCTGGAGATGGGAAATGTGTGGCTGCGCAGTTCGTTTAAACATGGTGAGGGATATGTTTTTCAGGACTATTTTCACCTGAAGCAACTGTCATCCTGACTTGTGAGATGAGCCTGGGGGTTGACCAGACAATGATGGTTCGTCCAGAAAAACAAGCAATACGGTCCATCTGTGCTTTAGAAAGGTTTTCCTTTTTCGATATTTTGTTTTTTTTCTGTTTGTAATTGTGCTGGGCAAAGGCATGACGGTTCCAAAACGAGAACGTTCTTCAACAAGGAGTCGCCGGTACTTTACAGTGACCTACATAGCCGCATCGTCTCCATCTTCGCGATATGGAGTCTACCTTCCACAGCCTCAAAGTAAAATGCCAACGGACCTGGCAGGTCTCTGCGTGTGGTGCCTTCGGGGCCCCGTAGAGCTACACTTATAAGGAGGATTATGTGAAACCTGCAGAACTATGGTTGACGACAAACTGCACACTCACCCCGAGAACGGTCCTTACCTAGAACGAGGCCAATGCGTCTAACTGCAGTAGCGTACCACTTTATAGGCTAAAAAGTACACGGGAACGGGGGTGAGGGTAGTGATACGCGACTGCCGCATCCACAGTCGGTCTTCCGCTATCCTCAAAGTGCAGCAGTTGCGTCGATATTAGGGTCCCGCAGCGAAGTACGCACACAGCGGTAGACAACAGCCAGAAGTAAGAGAGCGTATACAGGCAGCGCGATTAGCTATGGTTAGGTGCGGCCGTGCGGCAGCGTGCGTGGAGTCGATAGATGTAGTCCGAGCACCACAATACTTCAACTCCATTCTCGGGCATTTTTTACCAGAAAAATGGTGCTGGTGAAGGTGCGGACCCACATCCGGCAAGGACCAGAATCCAAGGAGGTTTGCTTTCAGTAGATTTTTCGAATCGGTGCACAAAAGGGTTCCATTGTCTCTTTATCGCAATGCATCTTTCACAGACCTGTCCCTCCCTTAGAGAGGGATCTTCTGAGTGATTACAGAGTCGGTCCCTGGTGCTCTGCTCAACTAACCTTCTCTATAGCGTAGCCAGAGTTTTTTAGTACTCAATCTGACGACAGCATGACGGACAAGAGTTAAGATCTGCTAATGAAGGGAATATGCTGCTGTCACATTTCATTAGATGCCTCGCCATTTAGCGTATATGCAAAACTTAACATTATCCTCGCCATTTGCCTGTCAGTTTCCTTTAATTCGAGCAATCTCCCCACAAAACCCTGGTCTCTCTAATCTAAGTCCATAGGACATCAGAGTATTTTCCACTCACGTGTACTTTCTAGAGCTCAAAGGAAGCTTAAATGGCTATTGCCGCTCTCCGTAGCTGGGTTATCTTAATAACAGACTTTGTGAAAGAGGAACAAAGAGTTACATCGCTCAGCTAGGTGGGACCCCATCCTGTGGATAACACCGTAACGCACTCGAAGGTGGCTCACAAGGAGTAAAAAGAAGACGTTATTAAAGTTGATCACTACCATTTGGCTGACTTCCATTCGACCCGACCCGAAGTGGCCCGGACCTTGGTAGGAATCCAGTTTTCATGATTGCGAGTCAAAAACTGCTCCGTTTACTACCAGCTGAAGTCGGTAAAGTGCACTTCCAAGGGGCATGCTTTTCAGAAAAGCGTATGGAGCTAAATCACACGGAGGTGAGGTGAACGAAAATCAAAACCTGGACACATAATCCCGATGGGAAACGTGTAGCCAAATACGGTGCCCTTCCCTCGATGAGGAATTCTAATCACGTCATACGTTGGGGGTTGCCAAGCGCGGGGAGGTATTACGGTCGTGGAGGGATGGGGAGGAGTGCTACAAGCTGAGGAGAGTTCAAACGGTAGATGGTAGGAAGGATGGAGGGTTCGGAAGGGGGTCATACCAGAAGAGGAAATTCTGAGGTGAGGGTTGAATTTTGCGAAATTTTTTCCAGGAGATGTCCTTGTGCGAGATCTTAATTGTCTTCTTGGGTTTCATTCAAAGGCAGCGTCCACGTTCATTTGATGTTCCCGCGCCCTCTCTGGATATCATAGCCCTCCCTATGAGGATGCAGTATGTACTAGTTTTGCATCTCAAAAAGGCGAGAGGATAGCGCCGTTCGCTAGTGAAGAGTAGCCCGCCCACCTGGCCAGCATAGGGTTCTATATAGGGCATTTTCCATGATTTTTCTGCTTTTTTTCTTCACTACTGGATCACGTATTATATGAGCTCCATAACTCATTATTCTTGAAAGCGGGCTCAGCCTTAAAGGCTAAGCCAAAGCAGTTATGGCAGCCAGGTGGGCGGGGCGGCATCCTCTTCACAAGCGGGTGGCGCCATCCTCTCGTATTTTTGAGCTGCGAAATTAGTACATCCTCCACCCTTGTCGAAAAACTACGATATCTAAGGAGGGCGTAGGAACATCAAATGAACCGGCGCTGCCTTTTAAAGGTACGGTTCGCGATCAGGTATAGAAGTTGAAATATGGCGTCGGGAGAGTGGTGTGGCTTGCGAGGAACAACCTCGTAGCGGTTGCATTGGAGGGGCGCGGAATACAGCTCCAGTGACGCCTCCTTTTTTCCAGTGACTCCGCCTCCAGACTTCGCCCTCTAGGCCTGCCTTTCAGTGAAAAAGGAAGCTGCACGACGAGAAAGCATGAAAATCGTCTTCCATACGGTCGCTGAGTTCTGATGGGAAATCAGCTGTGCAAACTGGGATCGGAATGGGGTTGTATTTAGGGCAGTTTACATGTTTTTCTGCTTTTTTTCTTCACTATCGAGTTACTCAGAACCTTGTCGTCTATATGCGAACCCCTAGTCCACTATCTGTGATGGCGAATGATCGCGGGCTTTGCCTTTTAGCACCGGTGACCCCGTCGACTTCTTCCACTCTCTTCTAGTGTTTTTCCACTGTTATGGCGAGTCGTGATTGCAACGGTATCCGCTACCACTGGGTATTTCACAGCCACCCTCACAACTCGGCGTTGAATCCTGGATTTGCCTCAAAGTCCAATCTTTCGAGCTTCACTTCTGTGATAAAAGAAAGCAAAATATACAACTCTGGAAAAGTCCAGCTCGACCCATAGATTCACATGTAGGAACCAAATGAGAAAGGTAAACAGGTCAGAGTAATCTGAAGATTCACCTGCAGTTACCTGCTGCAGCGCATGTTCAACCGAGCAAGGGAGGCCATCATTTAAAACGAGGCAGGCAAACTCCTTACAAGGCCATAGTAGCCAGTAGCTACTCCTGATCTGCTGAAGGTTCCCTTCCACTCTACTCAGGTTCTTCGGATAACAAAATAACACTCCATTATGAAGTTAAGTTGTCCGAGATTGGTATAAGTCCTTATAAAAAGCCTCACTACCAGATCCTCTAGCTCAGGGTGCCGACTACGAACGCCATCTCCTCGAGGTTAGCCCTCTTCACGATGTTTTTCATAGACTGCTTTACCTTGAGCTTCACTATGCTGAAATGGGACTAGGGCGAATTGTTTCGAAAATAGGTTTTGATTTGCAGGCTCCGAAGAAGGCAATACTGCCGAAACGTCAGTCTGGTAAAGGACTTATAACAATCTCGGATTGCTGAATAAAGTTCTGTGAATATTGCTGTCATCATGCCGAGATTAATGGAGAGTCGATCATGGAAGTTAAGTTGGTTATTGTGCCTAGTAACACGCGTTTTTAGGAATTCACCCACTATTGGTCCATGCTGAATAGAAGCGAATTTCCGCTTCTGTCAGCTCGGCGAAAACAAAGCCAAAACAATGGCTGTGTGAAAAGAAACCACTAGAGATCGGAACAAAGCCAACACCGAACGGACGTATGATGACAATTCAGGAATTTTACGAAGAGATCCCTCTTCAGAAGCGTCTCTCGTTTCGGATGATAGTCTTTTCTCTCGAAAATTGAGGAAAGCTGCGCCAAGGAGAGCAACAAACATAATGAAGTTGCTAACGAAAGAAATCGAATTTAAATGTAGCAAGCAGTCTGGAGGAGATTGAGGCGAATGCGCTATGCGGCCGCTTGTCATGACTAACCCTATCCAGCCCACGGAGTGATACAGGATCAACTAAAAGAGAAGGAACAGTATATTGCTAAAGTACGCAATAAAGGTTCAGGAGCGCAGTAATGGATTAAAGATGTCACAAGGTCTTCCACATTGGACTCTGGGGAAGTTGTCATATCACTTTGTAGGCCTATTTACGCTTCCAAACGCCTTCACCATAGCCTGAAAGGATAAAAGCCACTTGTATCTACTTGGCCAAACGCCTATGGTACCCTGCTGAAGTTCAACATCGAAATAGGTAATCACACATTCACAAGGAAGAAACTTACCGTAACCCTGTCCGGTCCTCGAGACCACTAGAAAGTGAGCTTTTGGGCCAAATCGAACAGTGATTCATTCCGGAGACCAGCTTCATATAGCTCATGAGGCAATAATGAGGTCATCGTTCCTCCGATCACTTTGGATGGACTACCTGAATCCAAAAGCCTCGAGGGAATTAGCGCGAAGCTTTCTCTGGCCTCTGGCAACTGTGCAAGGTGCGACTCTATGATATTTTCTATCAGAATGGATTCAAATCCCTAGAGATCTGGGTCCTAGGGGACAAGACAAGACAAAGGACAAGCGCGACCTAGCCTTGTCCTCCAGATGCTCTTTCACCCTCACGCTTATCGAATGAGCTGTTTCACCCTAGCTGTTCGTTTATCATCCTCACAGCTATGCCTGGTGATCATGTAGAACGCCCTGGGATAGTACATCCGCCCTCTTCGCCAGCTGGGCAGACAAGACAATTGAGGGTTGCACATAGACGGCCGTATAGCCAGTTTCTCACGAGACGTTTCCAGTTATGAGTGGTACATTCACGACGGCATAATCTCACGATGTTACGGGGGTTGTGTTCTGGGCCTAACTATTTGATTAGTGGCAAGCATGCAGTAATCAGTATGAAGTGCAGCATCCAACGAGAGCCCTGAAACGTCTCCTGTGAAAGCGGTGTTCGCAATGATTGGTTCCACTTTACACTAGCTTTTGCTGAACTCTTGGTTTTAAGCTAAAACTTTTTTCTCGAAAAGAGTGAGACCAGTGACCGTCCGGGTCGGGCGTAAGAGGTGTTGCAAACTGAGTAAGGTGCACAACGTTCGCATCAGGACCCAATCCACTTAAAGGCACAGTTCGCGACCGCAAATTGCGGGAAACGGAACTCAAATAGGCACAAAAAAGTGCTAAGTATCTGATTAGCGGAGAAAAGCAGCAGAAAAAGCAGTCCGAAATGTTATAGAGAAAGATAACATAGTGGCTACTAGCTAGTAGCTAGCAGCCGGTGAGGGTCGGCATGGGCCTAAGGGGTGTCCATGGGCCTAATTAGTCAGCTTCTAGCGGAGTTCTTGCCGTTTTTCACATTTTGAAAGTAGCGCAGCCTCAAAAATCGCCTTCCGGATCGTCCGACACTGAGTAACGGTTGGTGCAGAGGTTCGTAGCCTTAATTTATCGCGGAATGTGCCTTTAACGTGGCAAGTGCCGACTCTCTCTCTCTCTCTCTCTCTCTCTCTCTCTCTCTCTCTTTCTCTCTGTCTATATACCATACGTCAACCAGCTGGGGATCCTTCTTCTAGCACTTGCAGTGAAGCTACTAGGAAGTTTCACCCCCAATGTTTTGCAATGAAAATCATAGTTGCGGGAAAAGCAGCGTTTTTCATGCGCGCTCAGCATTCTCTGGACTTCGATTTCTTGGAGACCCACTATCGCTCCAGATTAAGGGTTGGATTAGAGTAATCGCTGATGGAGGCTGGTAGACCTTAGCAGACGCTGGATCGATAACTATTCTTTCCCAGTAGCTGACGCTGCCGGACGCTCGGAACGCTATTGGTCGCTGGTGGACGCTGATAGACGCTGTGCTTGCTGCCGCGAAGTATGAACGCAGTTTACCATACGAGACAGCTTTACTTTCGCGCTTTTTATCACGGCCCTGCACTTCACGCTTTTTAGCACAGCATTCAGACACTGAGATCATTAACCATATCCGCTCGTCAAGATTGTACTAAAGGGGTAAAGTGTTTACAGTTGATCGTTTGATCCCCCGCCGCATCGCAAAAGATTCCATTCCCGGACCGCACACATGGTAGGCGGGCCATTTGCCACTTGTAATGGCGGTAAGAAAAACCAGTTACATGACTACCCCATTCGACTGGGCTCTTAAAAGAATATAATAGTGCTGTTCCAGCTGTTCTCAATAGTGCACGTTAGTTACAAAATACTGATACTACGACTAATAATACCGCTGTAATACAAACTTTTTCTCTGTCTATTATATGGTAGAGGGTTTAAAGTGGTTCCAAGAGCTTACAGTTGGTTATTTTTCGATTTTACCAGGGGTGCAAGTTTTCAGGCCCATTACCTTGCCCCACACCCTATGGTCTTCAGAACCCAGGTGATTGATTGTGTAACAACCAAGATTCAATTAGTTGAGTACCAGCAACGTTCATTTCCGAGTTCACAAATGGAAGTGCGGGATCAAAGTCCAAAACGCTGACCCTGTCCCCAGTCGTTGTCTCATTGAGCATGAGTTTGAACAGCATTATTCCGATCTTCTTCAATGTGAGCAGGTTCGTAAAGTCAAGGAGACCTTCGGAACGAAGACGGTCGGTCGGAGAGCTCACAGGGAAGGAGAACGACACCAGAAGTATTTCTTGGAATTTATCGCATTTTCGGAGCCGTTGCCAGGCACTTCTGACTAGAAGCAAGTGAATTATCCTGCATGGGAGAGAGCTGTGCTGGAAAGTCTCTTCTGAGCATCGTCGAAGTGTCACATCAGTGAAGAAAAGAAAAAAGTGCTCAGTGCCGCCTATATGCACCACGGTCATCATGTTCCCTAAGACACTGTGTACTCACTTAAGAAATCTTAATTTCGGTTTGGTATGCCCCGGTTTGTGCGGAGGTGGTGTAACGGAGGTGTGTCGCACGTGGGACGCTTACCGGGATCAAGTCCCGGAGCGGCTCCCGCCCAGGCCAATCAAGCCGTCTTCCTCCGGGTACGGTAAAGTGGTGCCAGATTTGGCGAACACTGACTAGTACATCAGCTTGCCTCCGCAAGTCATTGTATGGCATCTCATTCACATAAGTCACCACGATTCAGAATGGAAGTTGAATGCGGGCCGCGACTTCCTCGTCTACTGCACGATTTCGGTTTTTTGGCCACTATGGCAGCCAGTGTAGTAGTGCTTCTACCGGATCCCTATGGCCTTTTTCGTAGACTGTGGAGCACCGCAATGTGTAGGTACCCGCTTTCTGACTCACTCGTGGTTACCTCAGATATATCTGGCTTATCATTAACATTTTGTTCTTTTTTTGTAATGTAATTTTTACTAGACCGGACATTTTACTGCACTCCTGACCTTTTTTCATTTGCGGGCTTAGCCTGTGTCCTAGAACTTAGAAGATAGATGTAAATTTGGGGAGAGATGAAGGTGATCAGTGGCATGCGATTCCCGTCCAGCTCGTTAAGCCTTCCTTTGCGACCACTTCATTTGCACCAGATTCCTCCGGAAAGAGGAAAACACGGGCACGAATGTCGATTGCTTCTCTACCCCTCTCCCCTTCAAACATTATACTGGCCGAAAACGCATCTAGAAGTTTTTTCTTACTGTAATTGGTATGGGGGGGGGCACCTCAAAAAGGAAGTGATGAGTAGCAAGCGACTCACCTCTTGGACTTGCACGCTCCGTTTGAAGGGGTGCGCAATAGGAAGACCTTTTTTGACATGCTGACGACAATCGCTTTTGGTGAAAGCGCCACGTGGGACAATGGCGTTTTTTCGCATGAACCTTCGGTAGCGCATATTGTCCCTCGTAGACCACTTTTTTTGCAACTGTGGCGAATTTTGCAAAATGATTGAGCAGTCTTGGGGAGAGTCCCACTACCATCCGTGACCATGTTGGAGACTAACTCAACCCACGCCCCCTCGACCACGCCCCATTTTCAGCGCGACCATGACTTTTCAAATCTCGTACTAGAGCGTCCGACTCTGTTTTTTTTTTGTTCTTCTGCTATTTCACATTCATACAATAGTTCACAGACGGCCATATCATTACGCTTTTTCGTTATGAGCGGTGTGTAGGCTCTGGGTTCCGCTAAGGCCGAGTCCAGAGGAGTGTGATTTCTTTTCCCATGCTCAGCCTTTTCAGAGGGCGAACAATCAGAGCGGTTTAAGTAAGGCGGCGCAGAAAATGAACGCCATGTTTCTTATCAGGATGTCAGACAACCGCGTTTACATCAGTTTTCGTTGAAAAGGTTGTGGCGCCAACTCGCCCCGTATGGTGCCAACACTGGAAAGAAATGAAAATCTCAATAAAGCTATCAATTCCAGGAAGATCGAATCTAATACCAAAAAGACTGCTAGCGCCAAACATGGTGCACTATGGCGCCGACGGCAAGTATGGCACATTCGTGATCTAGGTCTCGAGCAATCCCAGCAGTCAGTGTTTAATCCGAAAGGAATTATTGTGGAGATCCCTGGCATAGCAACAGGTGGCTGAAAAAAAATTCCAGTTTCAAAAATTAAAAGTTAAAATATTTCGCGAAGACGGCAACATTTTTCTCGCTCACCGCTGTTGGAATTTCACTTCTCACAAGTCATTAGAATACAAGAAAAACATAGGTAGGTAGAAACCGACGGCAGTAGCCCAAAAAGTGATGCAAAGGCTTACGAGTCACTGGTGGCTCATAATGTCGTCGGCGTGTTAAAGGCAGTTGGCACAATAATTCTCTAAAGACGAGTAGGATTAATACGCCTGGGAGGACGGAATTCCGCGCCCCTGAGAAGGCTCTGCGCAGCGCCCTCCCCAAGGGAAGTACTCTTATAAGGGCCCTATCAAGCTACAACATACCGACCGACCCAAACGCCCGCCCGCCCACAAATGGACGACCGTTCCTGACGCTCGTATTGATTCATTTGCTAAGCAAATTATGAAGCGAAGGGATTGGTATGAAGCGGCCGCGGTGCTGCATGGATATATGAGTACACACATGCAGCCGTATCTCGG